GCTGACGACATAACCAGGGGAAAAACTCTGGCCGAACTCGCCGACGTCTCCAGGTGGTCACATGGACCTGTCTTTCTTCAAGGCCCTATGAACTTATGGCCAGTCATGCCCTCAATCTGCACCACAGATGGCGAAGATGAGCTAAAACATTCATCATTTTGTGGAGCCATATCTAACATTCCAAGCTCTGCCATCCCTGAGGTCACCCAGTATCAAACTTTCAGGGATCTTGTAGAAGCGACAGTGAGACGTGCTCATGGGGCGGCTAACACCACTGGCAGCTCCACAGCAGATGATTATCGGAAAGCTGAAATTGAAATACTGCGTCAAACCCAGAGGGAAAGCTTTCCTACTGAGTTTCCTAAGCTCAAATCAGGCCAAACGGCTGGACCTAGTAGTCGATTGTACCGTTTGGATCCGCAGTTTGACCAATCCATGGAACTCATCCGTGTGGGAGGCCGACTTAGACGTGCCTCTGAACTTGAAGAGGATTCTATCCACCCATTCGTTCTCGATCCCCGTCATCCTGTGACAGAATTAATCATTAAGGACATCGACGAAGAGCTTCACCACCCAGGACCAGAAAGGGTATTTGCAGAAATAAGGAGAAGATTCTGGATTCTACGGGGCAGAGAGGCTGTTCGACGCTACCAGAAAAATTGTGTTGGCTGCAGACGATGGAGGGGAAAACCTGTTGCTCCCCAAATGGCTGATTTGCCACCATCCAGACTCAGACTATTCAAACCACCTTTCTACTCTACTGGAGTGGACTGCTTTGGACCTTACGTTGTCAAGATTGGCAGAAGACATGAAAAGAGGTGGGGCATCATATTCAAATGTATGACCACGAGGGCTGTCCATGTAGATCTGCTGCCAAGCCTTGATGCCGACTCATTCTTGTTGGCACTGAGATGTCTGATAGCCCGCCGAGGAAAGCCCTATGAAGTACTTTGTGATCAAGGCACAAATTTTAAAGCTGGAGAACGTGAACTGAAAAATGCCTTCAGGAGCCTTCAGCCACAAATTCAGGAACAGCTGGCTGGTCAACAAATAGACTTCAGATTCAACCCTCCAGGAGCACCACACTTCGGTGGATGTTGGGAAAGGGAAATTAAATCCCTGAAATCAGCCCTCACTACAACCCTGGGTGCCCAAATTGTGACAGAGGAGGTCCTGCGCACACTTTTGGTGGAAGTTGAAGGGATTCTTAACTCCAAACCGCTTGGTTATGTTTCAACAGACGTAGCCGACCCAGATCCTATCACTCCTAACATCTTACTGATGGGGCGGCTAGATCCATCTCTTCCTCAAGTTACATACCCAGAAGTAGAGATTACCGGTCGGAGGAGATGGAGACATTGTCAAGTGTTGGCTGAACACTTTTGGAAACATTTCCTAAAGTTTTACCTGCCAGGGCTCCAAGCTCGAAATAAGTGGCAAGAGCACACTGAAGACCTGCAAATTGGAACGGTTGTGATGATAGCAGACCCACAGTCACCACGAGCTCTTTGGCCTGTTGGACTGATTAAGAAGGTTTTCCCTGCAGCAGACGGAAGAATCCGCACAGCTGAAGTGCAGGTCAAGGATCGCAACTATATTCGCCCAGTCGTACGTCTAGTGAAACTGCCAGAAGTTCCAGATTAAAGGACCGATCTTCAGTAAATATTTCCAAGCTGCAAATTATCATGGATAATTTGGGGGCGGCTGTGGAAAATACCCCAAGTGTTGGACTGTGCCTTGTGGACTTCGCTGGATTGTGATTGGCTGGTCTGCCTGTCAATCATGGTCGACAACAACCTATCAGAGTCTTGATGTGTTGGAACGTTCTAGAGTGTGCCGAACAGTTTTTTTGTTGCAGTGATTTTTTTGCCGTAGTTAAACAGCTTTGCAGCTATAATATAAAAGGCGTGATGTTTGCTGATTTTACTTTTGCATTAAGAGTTGTAAGCTGAGTATTAATAAAAGGTCGCCACATCTTTGACCGGATACCTGCAGTTTTTTCGGACATCCATTACCACGCACTTCAGTTCAATATGTGTCAAAAGCACTATGAGTTAGCCCACTGATTTTTCCCTGTACTGCTAAAACATTTATTTTGCTTGATCTCAACAGTAGAGATAAACAGTTTGATGTTTTTTGGACTTCAAGCTCATTGTTTTATTCCCTAACTCGCAACAGTCCAGTAAAGTGAATAAATAATATTCCCGTTAAGCAGTAAACATCAGTGAAAATGTAATTCAGTAATTTGCTGGACCACCTGCTCTCTCATCGGTTTCCTTTTATATTTTCAGGGCATTTTTATTTATTTCCTTGCTGCAACAGACACAGATGTCCCCATTGAGATTTTAGTGCCAGTTTCCTCCAGTAGAGAGGGATGGCTGTAAAGCAAGACGGGTAAATTCATGTTGAGGATCAAGAGGAGTTTTTAACACCACTTCAAAAAAGTTTCCCGTAAAATAAAACATTTAGGTAGAGGCACCAGTTTGGAGATTGTTTTTGTCTTCATTTCTCCTATAAAGTGGAGAATAAAAGCAGCTGTATTGAGAGGAATAATGTGAAAAGGCTTTTACAGACAAGAACATTTATTTAAGAGGTCAGAGGGAACCCAGTGATAAATTATTCTCAACCCACAGATATACCGTCAATGTTTGCAGCACATAGTGGCTCTATGGAGAAAAATGACCCTTTAGCCTTTCCTTGTGTTGAAGTTCTATCGCCATTCAAAGCTCTCCTCTAGAAATCTTTTTCATTGCTCTGGCAGTGGTTGGTATTTTCCTCTCAAGTTCAATCATTTTGACACAATCTGCAGTGAGCTAAATGAATTAAAGATCTTTTTTTCCCCTATGGACAGCAAAGCACAACACAGTGCCAGCTGACAATGAAAGGATTGAATTGGCAAAAGCCAAGATCAGTGTTGTTTTTGTGATCAAAGGATAACTGGCTAACGGAAGAAACGGGACTTTTTCCAGAGGAGTGGGCCACAATGTTGGCTCCTTTATAAGAAAGTGGTTGTCTTTGCTGTTAATCTGATCAGGATTTAGCACGGTACCAGACCCAAGCTCTTAAAGTCAGACAGTGGCTCTGGTGTCTGTATCAGGTCTCGATTAGAATCGTTCATTCCCTGTGCAGCCCTGACTTCTAGTGTTGGAGTCCTTGTTAGATGTAATGTCTCAGGTATTCTAAATTTCTTTGAGCGTTATCTCTGTATCAGTGCTGGACAAAGTTTAGACGTTAACCAACTCTCTGGTACTCTCCCAGGAAAAGAAATAAATTAAACCAAAATCAGGTTTATGAGCGCCTGGAAGCCTTTCCCCACTTGCACTCTGTCTCATTTCTGTGCTAATTAGCACATGAGTTTACACTGTTTTGCCAAGATGGTGTGTAATTAAACCACAGTTGCTTCGCAGCATTACTTTGCACTTTGTAGTGTCATAAATTCACATTTATTTGAAAAAAAAAATTTTGTCCCTCCCCCCGTCTGTTTCATCTATTTTTAGGAAACCGTTGTGGCAAAATGGAAGCATTTTTAGTAAGGGCCTCCTTCGCCATGTTTTTTTTAAATCGGAAAATTATGAAATAATGTTGTGTTAGAGTTGGAATTATTCATCCAATTCACACTTAAAGATAATAAGCCTATGTATAGATTAAAAGCTAGAGATACTCTCTTAGTGTTTGACAGTCATTACCTCTGTTTTACCAGTGATTAATGAAGATCATTTTGAAGCATCAAAATGTGTTCTTGTCCTTCCAGACAAGCAAAAACTTTCATAGATCACAAACTCTATATTAAAGAGTGTGTCCATATAGTTCAAGTCTATCCAGAACTAGCTTAACTCAATAACATAGGGCTATTTAATGCTCTTTAGGAGGCTATTGAACCGTACACAAACATTATGTTGTGTTAAAATGTATTAAATACAGTAATAATAAAGTCAGTATCCAAAATGTAATTTTTATTTACATAAAACTAACAATACTTGTCGGGAGACTCTTTTTTTTGTTTTGTTGGTGTTTCTTTGTTTTTTTAGGAGCGCTCACAAAGTGTTGGATTCAATTTCCTAGATTAAACCGGAATGGACCTCCATTGTGTAGCTTATACTGGTGTTTGTTCATAAGACCTCTGTAGATCACAAAACCTGTCAGTGCAACATCAAATCATCAACTGCAAAGAACCCTTTATAGACCTCTGTGGTAACACTGCAGAGAGGCATAGATCAGGGGCGAAGGAGTATGATCATTCTGAACCTTTCAGTGCTCCCAGGAGCAAAATGACCTCAGTGATTGCAAAACGGAGAGAGTGTGAAAACATTAGCTCTCCTCCTCAGGTTGGCTGTCTAATAAAACTAGGGCAAACAGGGATTTTATCAGTAAGCACTCTAACAGAGCTCCAGATTGTCCTCCGCGGTGTGAGAACATGCCACGACGATCACAGCAGCAGTTCATCAATCAGAAAGCAGACACATGAGAGCCGATCTACACTTTCTCAAGTGGTGTTTAAAAGACTCTTAGAACATGAGGGAAATGATCATCAGATCCCAGGAGACGAAAATAATTATTTGCTGGGTCTTAACATCTGTCTCCGAGTTATCGGATGTAACCTCTCACTGCGCGACTGGTCTAAAACCGAATCACTTGAAACACATCTGGGTGTAAGAACAAGGATTCCCTGTGACAGGATTTAGGAGTGAAATTTTTGATCATAGGCATAATTCTATCTGCGGTATGAAAAAAAAAAATCACATTGAATTTCTGGGGAACCTTTTATTCACATCTCAATAAATTAAGATTGTCAGTGAAAGAGGAATTTATTTCTGTAACAAATTCAAAACATGAAACTTGGATATTAATGCATACTGAATGGTCCTCAAGAGACTCAGGTTTTTTCACGCAGACTATCTAATTGTAATGTTGAAAACATAAGTGGAAAGTATCTTAAGTGTAATTTTGTTGAGTTGTTAATTTTTTTGCTGACTTTTCTTTGCATTTCCTGTCAATTTCAGCTGCAGAAGAGAGAGCGCTCATGTCGATTTTATGTCCAGGTACTTGGATGTGATTTTTCTCGTTCATCTATCATCACTCTGTTGATATTGTCATAGTTTTCACTGTATGTTTTGAAAATTGGCCTTTTTGAAGGGACATGAGTTATTAGCAAAAAAATATGAGAACCCAAAAGTAACAGCATCAAAGTGAGTAAACTCTGAATCAAAGGGCCAAATTTCATTGTGACACATTTCACCCTGTTTATTTCACACTATTGGTCCCTTTCGCTGCAAATGCATGTCATAATATCCTGTTTCTTAACCCCAAGCATGTAACCCATCCCTTCATCTGCAAGAAATGACCTAAATACAGTTACCTCCTATTTAATAAGTCAACGAAAGCCTTCACCTGCTATGATTCTCCCTGCTGCATAATACATACTTGTCCCAATTTCCAAAGAGAGGGAGTCAACTTCTCTTCTTAGCATTTTCTTCAGACTACTTTGTGATTTTGTAATCCCAGGGGTGACATTTACGCTGTCGTCAAAATCATTTCTGCCCTGATGAGAAAACAGGAGAAGTTGACATCCTCTGTCTTCCATACGGTTGGCTCAAATTACGGCTCACCCACCAGCCAGATGTTGTTTTTGTATGCATCCTCAATGCTGCTTGTTTTAGCTAACGTGCTTTCAGCTCCTCCGAGGCACGTCGGAGGACAATTTGTTTTAAGTCTTTGAGCAACTGTGCACATGAGATATCAGGTGTGCTGCTGTGTGCAGTTAGGCAGGCTATGCATAATGTTGCATTTTAGCATCTCAAGGAACTTGAGAAAAGTAAGATCAATATTTGTGGTATTCAAGACTTTTCTCATTGTCAGCTAATATGACAAAAAGATATGGATTAATACGTGCATTCTGCATATTTCAATTCCAATCATGGGTTGTATATTAGACTAGAGTTTCTCAACGACGGCCTTCAGAGGACAGCAGGGGGCGCTGAGATTCCTTTGGGGGGGGACATTTGCTCGAAGGTAAATTTTACAAATTAAGTGCATAACAATACCAATTTAGAATTTGAGCTACTTGCTAAAAACTATATTGTGTAAACTTTAAAACATGCTTGGCTGCAACTGTAGCGATGGTAGCTCTTCTTCTCTTCAGTGTTTCTGTTAGTTTCTTGGCGCAGCTCCGTTCTCCTGCGACTGGTAGCTTCACAGCACTATTAGTTCAGCGTTACACCGGTTGATGACGTTGCTGTGATTCACTGGTCAGGTCACGTGTCTGATTTTCAAATATTTTATGTTTTATTGAGGATTTTTGTACATATGCTTTGGTAGTGCTGTGATCATGTCAAAGCAGCAACTTATATTGAAAAGTGTTTTGCTGTCCGTCTGACTGCTGCATGCTTCCACGGAAGGACAACAGAATGTCTCTCTTTTAAACATGCAGTTTCTAAAATCACAATACTCTCTCACTGTGTATCCCTCAGAAAAATGAAACAATTTATTGCGGAGAGGAAGGATTTCCAATAGTTTGTAGCAACAGCTCTATGCATGGTGCGGGAAATGTTGCCCATCAGTGATGTTATTTCTTTGGCACTCACAGGATGCCTTCCCCAGCTTCAGATTGAACATATATCCCATGATGCATTGCACCTCAGAGCCTGGATCTGATGCCATGTGGACCTGTAGCTTTTCTTACCTCAATCTCTCAGGTGTTCCCTTAAACACCAGAAGTGTTTAAGGGAACAAAATGGTGGTGAAGGAGGGATCCTGTTGATTGGAGTCTTCTGAATTTGAGTCAGATTAGCCCAAAAGATCATCACTTCTGTCAAGCTTCATTATTGGTGAAGCTCTTGATTTAATATTGGTAATCGTTACCCACTGCAATATACGTTCAGTCAAATTAGTTGCTGCCAGTGTGCAAAGGATGGCTAAACAGTGAGAAAATAAAGCTATTCTTTTGCATACATATAAATAATTTGACTCTCAACTTTATTGTGTTATACAGTAATTACAAATTACAGATGTTTCTTTGTGTTCTCGGGTTTTAGTGGAAAATAGAAAATGCTAATCCCTCTCTATTCATGCAGCACTTTAATTTTGCTATTAGCTTATCAGCATAGGCTGGAAAAAAAAACAGAAATCCCTCAAAAACTACTTTCTTCACATTAGTTTCTTTCCTTGGTACATTTCAGCTTTTGCAAAAATAAATACTTAAAGGATTTATTCAACATTAATATAGATGGCTGCACACACAGCTTAGCTATAGCTTGGCTAGCTTGTCAAATTCAAACAACAATGAAGTGACTTTTGTTTGACAAATCGACACAATGGAGCAACATCTGTGGCCAGACGTAAACACAGGCATTGACTGCACATACTGGAGGCCGGTTGAGGGGGAGACTTTTATTGATTAGGGAAATTGGGCAATGTTTTCTTCAACAGGACCCCTGAGGTTGTCCTAAGGTTTGCCTATCAAACTTTAGATAGGCAAAGGAATACAAAGCAAATGAGAGATGCACCTGCATCCGCTCAGAGGACACACGTGCTGCTGAAGACAGACTGTCACAGCGCTGCTGGGAATACTGTAGGAGTTCCAGGTGTTGTTATTGTTAAGGAGGTACATGTCCTAAAATAAAATATGTGACTTGATGAATAAAAAAGATAAAGAGAGATTATTCTTTTCTTGATTGAGGACAAAAAAAAATGACACTTGAGATTTTAAATTTATGTACGTGAGCGCAGAATTTAGATACAGAGCTCAACCTCAGTTTAACTTGTGCAGATGAAATGCCGATTCTAGCTCTTCTGAATCCCTCTAAATAGTCACATCTGCTGCACATCACAGCCAATTTGACTGCACTGAAGGGATTTGGCCTTGAAACGGCAACAAAGTGCATAATGATCCACTCTCTTATGTTTTGTGTCCCCCCTGCAGGAATGTTCCTCTGTTGTGGCCTTTCATTTTGAACAAACACAATAAAAATGGCATCCTACCTCCCTTCATCTTTTAGTCACTTTAATGGCAGCTTGTTTAAAGGTAGCAACATTACGGCTGTCCAATTATTGTGATTACATCTATTGTTGTTGTCCCTAAATCACAAACAATAGCGTGTTTGTTTTGGGGGCTGGTTTTAAGAGGAAATATGAACTGTGCAATTTGCATTACATTTTGTGTAACAATAAAAAATGTACTGTCTTTTGCCTCAGTAGGACCCAAGTAAGTGTGAATATTTAAGACACAGGGAGGACACTAAGCTCTGACCCTCATAAAAACAACTCCTTTTGCTCAAAAGGAAGACCAAAGGGAGTGTTGGATGACCTCAAAGCAGCCGAAACCAAGGGAGGTTTCTCGTTCAGGAATTTAACAAGAGGATAAAACTCCCCTTTTCTTGAAAGATGAAGATAAAATCATCCTTATAAACACAGAACTCCTCATTTGGATTGCAGTCCAGAGATGGGAAGAGCACTCGTATTGATTGGTGCTGCTCACAATGGAGGTGGCTTGACTGGTCAGTCAAGCGTGAAAGCAGATAATAGTTTTGAGAGAACACCCTTGATTTTCCTTGAAATTTAAGCAGTTCAGTGGAGAATCTTACACGGTTCAAAGAACATGTAAACTTGCCATTGTTGAGTGCGCACGTCTCAATCTGACCACTCTACCATGCTGATTTCCCTACTGCAGTGGCAGAAACAATGGACAACATAAAACAGGTACTGCGAAAGATCATCAAGAGGCACTCTTTATTGCCTGTCCTCCACTTTCACAGTTTCGGCAAAACAAGCAGTCCTTAAATTATAATAATATGATCTTGTCTCATTTGATACAAGCTAAAAGCTGCAAGAAGCTAATGGAGGAAATCATTAGGTTTCTAAACCTGTACATGTATATTTGCCTTCTAAACTCTTATCATACAAGTTAAAGGAAAACAGGCAACAGTACGTTGCAGAATTTACCAATAAATTTAATCTGCAAATCTGCAGATTCACAACAAATCAGTTCTAGCACGATGCTCTTGAACAATGGGTGTATTCAGGCAGTTTCTGAAAGATTGTTTGTAAAAGCGCACACAGGGTCAGTCTGACCTCTTCTTGGACTGTGGGAGAGTTGACTTACCATTGAGAAATACCTTGCTGCACCCTTGATGGTTGTGATGGGGACTCCAGTTCTTCTGCCTCTGGGTCTGACTCAGCATCAAATATGTACGGTTGCACAATTGTTTATCTTTTTGCATCCGTTTTCAAGTGCATAAAGAGTAAACACTGAATTGGAGGGCACAGCTTGCTGCAGATTATTGCATTATAGTGACATAGCTCTAAAACATCTCATTTTAGAAAAACTTCACATTGGCAGAATTGACGAAGTAAAGTCTCATCAATTGAGGATGATTGCAAAAAATGCCATGCACATGATTTGTGTAGCTTACACACCTATCCTTACTTATTCAAGTAACTATAATAGGTCTCTTTTAGAAATGCTGGATTTTTTCTTCTGTCCTCTCCAGTTAAGAAAAAAAGAAATGAGTCAACTTTGAGCAATTCACTGAACAGAAAATTAATATAAGGTAACTCTTCAAGGCATTTTCTGGGAAAACATCAAACTTTAGATGTTAAGAGACCCTGTAGAACAGTCTTTTTGGTTTGGATGCATAACATTTATGAGGTACAGTGAAAAAAGTAATTGGATACCCAATTTCATTTCATGGTAAGTTTGCCTCTTTTTCCTTATTTCTTACAACTTAGATTTGTAGTTTCGTAGCTCCTTCTGTCCTAGTCTTACTCTTGTAAAACTCACTTTAATTCATCAAGAGGAGCTTAAACAGCAGGAAAGGTTTTAGTAAAAAGAGTGATTTTGAAACTGTTTCTTTTAAAAAAGATGTAAGAAACAAAGAAACACTGGAGAAATCATGCTTTGTTTCTGAAAGAAGAAATTCTGTGGAATTTTTTGTTGTTTTTTTTTAGCATAGTTAACATTATCACAGTGGAAAAGTACTGAAACAACCAGGAAATGCAAAATAACAACTGATCATTAAAAAAAAAAAATTCAAAAAGATCTGGTTCTGCAATTCACGTAAATACAGGGGAGGCATATGGGAATTCATAACATAAGACCATATGAAATAAAATAAACAGTACAAAGGTTATCCCATAGAAACTCACTTACACAAAAAAATAACCACCCACGTATTAGGAAATGGATTCTTGAAATATTAAAGTGTCGAGTTTCAGTTGTTTCCAAGGAAAGCTGTCGAATTGGCCAGCAGGTATAAAGGAGCGAGAAAAAGAAAGAAATGATGTAACGGCTTCGTCTGTGCCCCGAGACTACAGACGATCAAGATTAAGATAAACTGGAGTTTTCTTGCCATATTTTGAGTTTACCCTTTCTATCTCAGTGACAAGAAAAAAAGTGACAGAGACCAACTGGTTAGCGGGAAGGAAGGAGCCGGATGAGATGAGGGGGACGAAAAGTGCATGCATACAACACAGAGGGTGTGCAGGGAGGGAGATCAGCCTCTGCCAGAATCAATTTCCTAGACCCAGAGTTCATTTCATCAATCAGCGCACAGATAGAGGCGCACACACCACAGCTCGGCTTGGACTCCTGCCAGGCTCTAATGTCCACCTCTCCCTTCCTTCGTCTCCTGCGCTGGTATAAATGGACCATGCACTGCAGGGTTTCAGGGCCGGCCATCATCCCTGTACCAAGTGGAACATTCCTGCAGTGACCTCGGTTTAACGACCAAAACATCTCTTATGTAACAGGGGACTCATTTAGCTCTTTTAATTTTTTTTTTAAAGCCGTTGCACTACCAACAAAATTTGCGGCAAGAAAATTACTTGCAGCAGATAGCTGCTACGGTTGACACATGGAGAGGCAATGCTGTAATGGAAGAGAAATGGCATCACCACACATTCTTGATTTATTTGCACAGACCAAGATGACTGAGGTGATGTCCTCCTACCCTCCAGCCCACATAGCTTTTCAAACTGAGGCTCTGAATATGCCCTGTTTTTGCTCAGATTGCAGTAAATATAAATCTATTATTATGAATAACCTGCAGCTATTCCATGTTGTAGGCAAAGTAGGTTCATCTGATGTATAATTTTATCATAATTATGGATCTTCTCAATCTTTCTCACTTTGCTTTACCTTTCAATATCATAAGTTGGACATTGTAAATTACGTACAATGGTGTGTTGTGTCTTAAGCTCTGAATTTATTCAGGTCCTCAGATGTGCAAAAAACAAAAACAAAAAACAAAAGATTTAACAGCTTTATTTATTAAATACAATTTAATAAACAAAGCTAAACCAATGGACAAACTCTGGAAGAGGCCACCCAATGCTGCATTTTCATCATTAGGCAGATTAGGCAGACTCCTACCATTTGGAGCCACAGAGTGATTTTCTTTCTGTCCAAAAGTACAGGCTTAGTGACTATAAATGCCCACATGGAGCTGAAACTGACAGACGACCAGTCTATGTCTCAATCTTTCTGTCTTAATTCGACATGTTGGGTCCAATCAAAAATAACCACTCTAATTAGAGTTGAAGGAAATGTAATTGACCTTCAACTCTCACCTCATTCTTGCTCCAGGGAAAGGAACACTGCAATTTCAGTAACTCAATGCATTCAACTGGATTTAGACAACTTTCCGGCTTGGATCATATTTCACTTAATTTGACTGTCTTGTTTTATGTTGGCTCTGAATCAGGCTGTACATTTGGACATGAGTAAACGGGACTGAAGGGAACCTGTTTGTACATTGAGATGGCATTTGTTGTGAATTGGTGCTCTATGCAATACATAAACTGATATGGATAGAAAAAATATTGCTAATCAGAAATAGGTTTTATGCTTTACCTTCAGAGCACAAAGCATTCTCATTCCCGCAAGGTAATTACATTTGCAGGCTTTTACCTTGCGAGATAGCGGTAGTTGGAGGACAAAACTCTAATTCTGTTCTTGTTGTAGGCCTGAAGGCAAGTTTTGACTATTAATGGCAAAGAATTGAATAGCTTCTTTTAGTGATTTGTACACACATTTACACAAAAGGTATTGCAGCACTGCACAATTAAATAAGCCACTCAGAGATAATCAACAAATAGAAAATGTATTTTTCACTAAGAATTATTTAGAATTTTTTTGTCATTTTACCATTGTTATCACACACCCAGAATGGGCAACATGGGACATCAATCATGCTAATTGCATACATGTAAGGAAACATTTAATAGTTTGTAAATCTCCCTGTAAAGAACAAAAACACTGAAGTGTTCACCTTAGGGATTGATTAGCTAGAGTCCATTTTTTTTACTAATTGACATCAGAAGTTGAATTTATCGTGGCATTATATAATAAGCTATAGCCAATATAAATTGGCTATATCTAAATGAATAAAAATGAATTTTACTTAACACTAATAACCAATGTAAAAATTGATTTCTTATTTCTTTATGAGCTTCCATCATTTGTTTACATGTTTTCTCCCCTTACCAGTTTGTCCTTAGAGGGGGTTCACTGCTTTCCATTTCGTCTTCTTTATACATCGCCTCTATGTGAAAATGACAAAGTGCCAGTCCATCAGTGGTATGAGAACTAGGGAAAAATAATCTTAAAGTCGTGAACAAAGGAAAGGGGGAGAAAAAAAAAAGTCAGCGCCTGAAGAAAAAGAGCTCCTTAATTGAGAGCGAATCAACCTCTGCTTCTAGCTGAATGTCAAAAGGTGTGATTGGAGATTGGGTGCTAATAATGAATAATTACATCAAAGATGATGCATGTGGTGTAGGTTTTGCCGTGCACAGTCTGTTACGCTGTGCATGTTCTTGTGGAATAGCAGGTGGAGTGGTGTGTGCTCAGTCTTGCATCAGACTCTTATATTGCATGAGTGGATATTGGAGACTCGGTGTGTGTTGAAAGTTGAAATTGTAGCTGGCGAATCATAAATTTAAAAACTACCCCGTTTTTTTGTCGCCCTACAGTCAGACTGACTTAACCAAAATTAAAACATGATGTTGTAAACTATGTCCCCATTGTAACCATTTATAAAATGTAGCTGTGATATTGGCACATTATTTGCAATTCCACCTCCTTTGTTTTTGTCAGTGTTATTTTGAGCCATAATTTGGTAATTCAAAAGGTTTGTAGCTGTAATCCAAACAGGGCCCTTGTTTTAACCTTGTACTCATTTGCAATAAACTGAATTACATAACTTGAAGCTTTAGGATAAATCATAGCTATACAACTACTGTTAAAGTTCTTGGTCATTAAAAATGTTGATTTCCATGTCAATAATGGTAATTATCATGGTCATTAAACATAGCAGTTTGAAAATCCCTCTGCTTTGTGTTTTGTGATCCGATCAAGAACGCTGAAATAGGCCTCATTACACTAAAGCATCAGTTCTCACAATCAAAAGCAGCTCATTTTTACGGGTGGCAGCGAGCTTTGCTAAAATGAAAACCTCCTTTTTTCTCAATTTTACTTAAGTGCTGAAAAATACTTACCTAACCTCTATGAAAAGCATCAATTAGCATGTTGACCCAATGGCTAAAAGTGAGCTTTCTTCAATTTCACAAAACAGTGTAACATTACAGTACAATAACATATTGCTAATAGGAATTAACTTGGTCAATGAGCATAACAGTCAGTAAATTAGATTTTCTGGCTTGCAACTGGAAAACAAATGCTGTTCTAATTATACTTCAGAAGTAAATATGCTTTAATGCAAAAAACCAATGTTTTATTAATTCCATCAAAATTCTAGTCTCCCTCTTGGCTGTTAAGTCTAAACAATAAACATGTTAAAGACTTGTTACGCAGCAATTTTGGATTTTTTTGCACAAAATGTACAACGCTTAAAAGTTGCTTGGTGTGAGAGTTTTCAGTTTTCAAATTAAAACAATCATTACTTCTGTTCACTAACAGTTGTTTATGCATCCAGTCCATGCTTGTGTGAGTTGCAGCAAAGCAGCATTTTAATGATAAAATCTGATTTGTCTCATAGGAGACATAAGTGTGGTATTGAAACCAGATGATTTTAATCATCAGCTTTGTGGCATGCTTCTAGCTATTACCTCAGTTTTAACCTGCCTCTACTTATTTATGAAACATTTAAAGTAAGAATGCTCTGTGGATCAGTACAAAATATTGTACTCAAGACTCACAAAAAGATCTCCCTCATCTTTACACTGTTTGATTCAATTCATATTGAACACTTTTCCTGCCTGATTACTCCAATTGTACATACTTCGACAAGAACAAACTTGCAAAATTACTTATAACCAGGAATGAAATGCTGTGCTTGACCAATTAGTATTCTGTTCATAAATCTTACCATTGGCAATTTTAAATCTTTAATGGGTCTTGATTTTTCAAAGGAGATGTTCACTCTTTTCCCCTCCCTCTTGGTTGACCGCTGTTGTGTGCGGATTAACGAAGGCGTTAATAGTCCTTCCCTTCTATGATTACTGTGCAGAAAAAAACAATCTGTATTAAATGGTTGCAGATAGTTGCTACCAGCAAAAGCTTTTTCCACCCACTGGATTGTCTTAAAGTTGTTTCACTTTATTTATTTCAGTGCATTTGTGTGCTAAGATTGTCTGCAGGGTGGGAAGATCATTAATCACACCAATTAAAGACTTTAGCCTCAAGTCATGCAAGAACTGGCCTCTAGTCTTGTAAGCATTGGCTCTGATTCATTTACATGATTAATTTCTCTTGTAGATAAAAGGAAAAGGCCACAAACACAAAATAATACATTCAGTGTCATTACAAATTCAGGTGTTGCTCTCACTAAATGACCATTCCACCCTGATACACACACTTTGTAAATCAATCTGATATTTTCTTTTCAATTGAAATAAAGGAAAAACAATCATCCATTTATCCTGCAAGTTCCCCACAGATTGTGAGATTTGTTTGAATTTCCTTTGTTCTCCCTTAACTCATACTATTTACCAAATCACCATGTCAAGCAGCCTCAGTTTTTTTCTTCTTCTTCTTTTTCTAAATAAACTCTTTGGATTCCCCAGGCCATGGTGGAGACGGTCAACAATTTGCTGCAGCCACAGGCACAGGCAGCGTGGAGGGAGCTAAGCACCGCGGAGCAGCTGAGAGCTGCCACCATGCTGCTGGACACGGTGGAGCAGGGCGCCTTCGTCCTGGCTGACAACCTGCTGAAGACGGACATTGTGCAGGAGAACACCGACAACATTCGTAAGTATATTCTGACCTTTTTAATTACGGGATGTTACAAAAGTAATTAAAGCTCTTGCTTTGCTAAATTCCAGCCAAAAGCTTCACTCTATTTAATTGTGATTTAACATGACAGACCACACAAAGTAGCCCATCATTGTAAAGATTAAAAAAAATGATACAGAGATGCAACAATAAACCATTGGCATATCCTCTTTTTTATAGCTACCTATGGTCAGCTTCCCACATATCTCAAATTATCCAGAAAAGTATAAGATATTTCTCCATTTTTTTTTTCACAAAATCTGTTCTTAATGATGTTAAAAGGGCTTGTAATGAGTTGGAAGAAAAAGCAATGAGCTTTTTGCACCTTATGGATAGAATCAACTCCAGATAAATTCAATGGAACTTTATTCTTTGAGTTTACCAACGCTCAATATTTTAAATAGTCAAAAGATCAGAATGCAAATATTTGCAAATGCTTTTAAAATCACTAATATTTCATCTTCCAGAGGTGTTTTTGTCCAGATAACCCTTAAATCTCAAAATGTTGTTTGACCTCACATTTATGCATCACTCTGTGTTGGTTGATCACACAAAACCTTTTTAAGAATTATCGAAAAATACTGGCTAAGAAAATGGGGAGAAAGCACAAATGATAGTTGTTCCTTTGCAGGGCATGAAAATAACACATTTTCGGTAAATGTGCATAAACAAACTTTGACTCATTTTGCTTGGGGAAATTGTAATCCTTAGCCTCTCACTGTTAAATTTAGAAACAGAATGCTGCTTTATTCTTATAAAAATGGCCACTTGGCATAAACACTCATTGTGTCTGACAGTTATCTTCCCTTGGAGCAAGTCTGTGTGATCTTGTAATTCAGCAGTTGTTGTCACTGTGCCAGAATGTCCCCACAGCTTTCAGCTTGGTTTTATTTCAAAAGTCAAAAATAACTGACAACACATCCAACTCTCTTCCTTTACTACTACATGAGATGACAACAGGACTCTGTTGACCTTATACAAACTATATTATAATATTTGACGCTGAAATGGATGCTTCTAAACTTGCTCAGCTCTATTTCTCAGGTGCAAAGTTGTATGCTGGTTTCACCCGGAGTCTTAACAGCACATACCTACTGGAGCTTGTGTAAAACAATGACAAGCAGTCCAACTTAACCGAGTGCACTTTTTTTAGTTTTTTTTTTTTTAAAGGAATCTCAGTCTGTTTTTTTTTTCTTCAACCAGTGATTAAAATACTCCTAAAATTCTACTTTAAGTAGCCAATAATTCACCTGAATTTACTATGCGCAAGCAGAGAATATCATATGTATTATAGTGACATAGGACGTAGTTTCTTTTTTTTCTTGTTACAGCCTCCTTATTCAGTTTGGAAAATTTTTCGATTCAATTTAACTAGTGTCTAGATTGAAAAAAGAGAAATGAGAGTGGAAAAATAACTGTATTTCAAGACTTTATTTCCCAACCTGTTGTCAAAATATCTGTCAAGAACAGCCCTAAAAAGGACAAAGAATTCTGCAAACTGTGTTGGTTCCCAGTTTTTTAGGAACTCTGTTTTCAAAGATGTAGTGAAAGCTCAAAATCTGTGAAACTATTTTATTGAGATCTATGCGCGTTCCTATGTCACAAGGAAGATCTTTGCTGGTTTCAAATGTGACCTTAACAGTTTAACATAATAAGCACACCATGTTTACATGAGAATCCTAATTCGCTTATTCTTGTAAACACAGCAATTGAAAAACCCAAATGATTTGAATATCAATGTTCATATTGTTATTCTTGAATAAAGCCCCTAAAGAGATGTACAAATCTATAAACAAACATCATAAATGAACTAAATAGCCAACCTCGACATGGATGCGTACATTGACATAAGTTCATTTCTCATTCACATTTACATTCAATAATAGAGCAAAAATACAGACATTTAATGTGATTATTGTAATTGTTGAGAGAGTGCAGGTAGACTGGGTACATCCTGTATAAGCACCGGAGAGTAAATTATCCTCTTAAATAGAAAGACATTTTTCACTTATAAAGTGGAGTTCTTTTCACCGGTGTGATTCTCAAACAAAAACAAGGCGCATTTCAGTAGCAAACCATTTGGTTTCATCATTCCGACTTGTTTTTGCTGTTTTTCTCTGCGCATCGGAGTTGTCCCATCTCTCTAGTCATACAGAGGCCACGGTTTCACTGCGCAGCTATCGATCCAGGGGCCGCTCTCGTATTGATGACGCCGCTTTCTGAGCCACTAGATCAAGTGTGAAGGTCACTGGAGAAACGCTCCTCTGCAGCTGGAGGTTAAGATCTACGGGACTACTCTCAGCCGATAGCGTTCAGCTGTAAACTGGCATTTATCTTGCCAGACAGCGTTTAAATTTATGTCAGTTATTAGGCAGAATTAACCGGCGCTCGTGAAGATCAGGGATCAGTGCTCATTATTCAGAGTATAAATACCAGGCGAGCCCAGATAATGAAACTCGTGTCATTAGTTTTCCCTAGCGGGGTAATCCAAACCTAGAAACACAGGTTGTTGAAATGTTGAATTGTATGTGCTATTTTAAAGTGGGGAGCAGAACATTTTTTGTCAGTCTGAAGCTAGTAGGGCAAGGGAATAATGAAAAAACCAGCGTCGTGATGAATAACCCTCTACTTCTAACATGCTGAATTTTTTTTTTTCTTTTTTTGAAAAACATATTCTTGCTTCCATGGCAACCTAAAAATATAGGTCTACTTACTTAAAAGGAAGCAGGCGTTGGGAGAATTAATAAAAAAAGGGGTTTTATTGTATCTGGCACACAATTCATCTGGGTATTAAGGAGATTCTGAGCTCGTTTAGAGGGAGGGAAAGGAGTAGCGGGGGGACCAGGCGATGCCGTGCAGCCCAGACTTTATAGCACGTTGTGGTATTCTGGTTAATTATGTGCTGGTGACATGTTTACTAGGCCTTATCTCTCTGTTTGCTTGGCTTATTTTATTTTATTTTTTCAGCCGCTCAGCTCCTGTAATCCTTCACGTCACTGAGGGGTTTTAAATGAGAACGACGACGAAACCCTGTTTTTTTTTTATATTTTCAGCCCCGCTAATCACTGCACCAGCTAATGATTGATCCTACACTTCGAAATCCTTGCGATGTGGAAAGCTGTAGCGTGTGCAGATGTGCTATATCTCTGACATGTTTGCATCGATGTCAGAGGGAGTGAGGGTTTCAAAGGACTCCTCATGGTTCCAGACAAGCTGATTATGACTTTTTTTTCTGCATCCTATGTTGCGTCTTAAAAGCATTCACACTGGTAAACTTTTCTGCTTTTTCAATCAGCAGCCACAAACTTGTATATGTTTTGTTCTGTTCTAATGTGATGAACTAACACAAAGCAGTGCATATTTATAATGTAGAACTAAAACTACACAGGGTTTTGGACATTTTTTAGGAATAAAATTTTAAAAATTGCAACCTGCTTATGAATTTAGATTATTCTGATAACCTTAAATAAAGTTAAGTGCACACCTAAATGCCTTCAGAACTCTCCTAATTTATGACAAATTTTGAAAACCTCTAGGGGTGGAAATTTTTGAGGATACTGTATTTTATTTCTCTTGCCATGGTGTCTAAGTTTGTGTTTACACTTAACAGCCTGTGTGTCCATGGAGAGGCCTGTCTGCAGCGAAGTTTGCTTCGCTCCCTCCTTGATAATCTCATGAACAGATTTCTGCTGATTAGCCGTGTTATTCAAACCTTGCTTTGAAGGTATAGCCCTTGGGTCCAGCAACTCCTATGGCATCAAAGAAATTCCCCACAGCCTGTCGTAAGCTCTTTTGCACAGCCACGCAGGGAAAAAAAGAGAGCGCAGAGAGGGAGAAGAAAAATGCTTCCTTTATTCCAAAGGCAGACTTGGAATCCAGGGAATGCTGCACTATCTGGGGTATTGTCTTAGCTAAGTTGAATAGGAATGTATCAAAAACCATCTGGCCTTTAGAAAACCACAAGAGAATACTAATACAAAAGATTATTTTATTTTTAAATAGAAAAGATGGAACGCCATGGTATGAAAACAGATACAAAGGGAGGATTAAATGTGCCCTCGCTGCAGCCCTGTGTCGGCTCTAACCTTTATCAAAGTCAGTGTGTCACGGCGACATCAGATCACCAGCTGAATTCGTTATCGGATTTAATTAAGTTTCTTTCTCTTACTCTTGTTCGAGCTGTGTTTCAAGATGAGAGTCCCCACTTCAGACTAATCAGGCAGCTTTACTGCCGCTGCAACAATGACTGAATCTCCTGCACTGGTTTCAATGTTCTTGCTGCTCAGATCAGCAGTAATATTGAAACGTGTTGCTGGCAATGCTGTGGTTGACATCAGCGTGCTTAATCCCAGCTTGATTATTGAAAATGTACGTTGACCCCTTGAACCTGATCCTATTGTGTATGGCTCCAATGTGGCTCCAGTCTGTAGCCATAGATGTAAAGTAGAATGTCACTTTTTGACTGAAGTAGCTAACGTTTGTCTTCAAATACAACAAAGGATATGTAAAACTTCTCATATTTAGGTAAAAATAAATATGATATTCAAAGGAATTTAGTGCCAACCCAGTCATTAGACAGGCGGCATCTTAATTACTCGGCTTAGAGTCACTACAAATTTACCTTGTCAGAAAAATGTCGTGATCAATAAGAAAATAAGAAATACCACAGATCATTTCCTCAGAGTTTGAAAAAGGTAAACTCCTCTTTCTGGGAGGTGTTAAGGAAGCATCCTTATCTGAGGCACCTCAGATGACCCCTCTTCAACATTTCTGTAACATTACTCATCACCTTTAAACTGTGTTTGTTCAACACCAGTGCTGATCATTTTTGACCTGACACTAACTAAAAATTATCTTAAGATATTAGAACTACATGTTTTAGAGTAAAAACATGTTTATCTTTAAGGTTTTTTTTCTTCTACCAATCAATGGATCATTGGTTTTATCCCTTTATGTTCACTGTGTTGGTAGCTTAATTTAAGTACATGATGGTACAATAACTTTGATAAAGTAGGCTCCTGGGGCGCGCTGTGGTGGCGCAGGGGGTTTGGAGGCCTCAGTCCTCGACGCAGACGTCGTGGGTTCGACTCCCGGGCCCAGCAACCTTTGCCGCATGTCTTCCCTCTTTCCTGTCAGTCTACTGTCAAAAAATGCGAGCCATTAGCGCCGCTAGAGGAAAAAAAAAAAAAAAGAATAGCCTCCTGATTGCTTACAGCATTCTTTCCTATATGATGGAGGAAATATTTGAACCATAAATTTGAAGTTTGCTTCAGACTCAGTTGTTGAGAAGCTATAAAAAACTGCTCTTCATCTTCTGTCTATATCGCTCGCTGTCTTGGTTCATAATGAGAAGAATCATTTCATAATATCAGGGATTTTGTTTTTTTATGTATCAGTCATGTCACCATTGCATTTAAAAGTCAGTTTTTCTAAAGAAAGACATTATCGGTAACAGTAACAATCCCTGTAGTCTTTGTTGAAAGCCAGACTACAAAGATACAACAGTCAGAAAGGTGCCATGATAAATCACTGTTGGAGATGCAGTTTGTTTTATCTGATAATATTGGAAATGTGTTAGAACTCTTCCTGGTTGCTATTGTTGTGGATAGCTTTATATATATATATATATATACTCTATCTACTCTATATGGATGGATGGATGGATGGATGGATGGATGGATGGATGGATGGATGGATGGATGGATGGATGGATGGATGGATGGATGGATGGATGGATGGATGGATGGATGGATGGATGGATGGATGGATAGAAATTATTTTCAGATAAAGTAAAATGCAAGCAATTCCAATCAGAGGTTTATGTTTACTTATTGGGATAAATATTAAAGGTGCACAGCTATGACTTTTTGTAACATTTTGGAGCGTTTTTCTTTTCTATAATTAAAGAACTTTACATATAGGTTAAAAAATATACAAGTGCACCTAGTTTTGTATGTATAAAATTCCCTGAGCAAGTTCCATCTTAACCACAAAACCACTGTTGATGTGTGGTTTGAATGATTTTGTGACATAAATACTGAGTTATGTGCTGGTTGTAGCCATCTAGGTGTGGATGTGAGGTAACGTTGATATTTGAAGGTTTTCTTTCTTTGTTTTTCTTAACTCCACTTTGTGTAGAATGAATTCACTCGTATCTCTGATAGCTAAACAGTTCTGCAGCATGATACTGCCACTATCGTTCAGAACTAATTTATTTCTAACCATTCTAATAAATGGGCTCAAATATCCAGTTAAATACTGGATATTTATAAAAGCTTGTGATGCAACCTTTTATACCAGAAGGTTGTGAATGGCTATAAAAAGTGTGTAATTGAGATGGAACTTGCTAACAGACATTTAACAAAATTTGTTCCCAGTATTTTTCATTCCAAACTTAATAAAAGAAGAGTCTGAATGGCATGATTAAAAATGAGGAATGTATGTGACTACTTATTTTAGCTCCCATTCACTCAAATTGCCTCTAGACTTCTAAAGTTTGTCTTCAAAATATCAGTTTTAACTGTGAAATCCACAAATTTGAAAGGACATGACCTCTGTGTTCTCAGAGGAACCTCAGGCTTTTATTGATTCCTCGAAATTTTGTCGGGTTTCTCTTGCTTACGTGCAGAGCTGGAGGTGGCGAGGATGAGCACAGATGGGAATTTGCCTGATCTGAAGTTTCCACAAACTGGAGGGCAAGGCAACTCGATCCACCTGTCGGCAAACACACTAAAGCAGCACGGGAGAAACGGTAACGTGCCAGATTTGATTTCTATTGTGCAACTTCAGCTCGAGGACAATACACAGGACTACATTAACAAAGTATAGCAGAAATAGTTATGGTTTGCAACAGTTTGATTATGAGATCATATTGTTTCCTTGCTTTCCAGTAATTTTATTTCAAACGTCTTTTAGTTTCTTGGTATTTCCTTGATATTTCAGCAGCATTCTGCATTGCATGTCTTTATAAACCTGCCCTTTACACTCTGAGCAAGGTTGAGTTAAAAACAATAACGAAGCACTCTCCTTGTGCAGATACTGCCAGCTCAATCAAATCAGGACACAGTGCGTAGCGGTGCTGGCTGTCTCTCAGCTGCACGCCTGTGTCTGTGTCCAGCCGTGCACAGGCAGATCAGAACGGCAGGGTAGTGAACATTCCTCCATCATCCAGGCCTACGGCACCCAAATTGTTTCCCCTTTCATTGGAGTGAGTGATCTCGATCGCAGCGGGAGGGGGCTTTCTTTGATATCTGTGCTCAAAAGGGAAAATCGCAGGAAGCGAAGATGGAGGCAAAGAGAGACAAGGAAATTATTAACAAGAAAAATTTGAGGAAAACATATTTACCAATGCTTTTGAAGAATGCTTGGACACAGTTTTGAATGTTAAATTTGAAGAAATGTTTGGTGATTTGTTGAAGTTTCTCTTTTTTCTCAGAAAGATTTTGAGTGATTCTGTTATTTAAGTTTTAAATAAGGAGTCATTTTATTGTTCATTCTGCTATTGTCCATCTTAGTTTTATTCCAATATGTAAAATGAATATGTCTGCTAAAGGTAGCGTAAACTGTGAATGGCATAATTACAGGTTATATGTATTATCAAATCAGACAAAAAATAATATTTTATCTAGATATGTTATGATATTGCCTACATAATCATGGGGAATATGGTCTCTGACATGCTTCACAATGAGGGTGAGCTACAGAAGGTCTCTGCTAAAGGAGTTTGGTGTCTAGATTATGTATTGACGTATATTTATAAAAAGTTGAGTGGAAGAAAAAAATCCTGAAAATTCATACACTAACATAACAAAAAAAACTCTACTTTTGTTTGTCCATTGTATATTATCAAATCCAAAGTCAGCACTTCATACTTCCCTCTTTATGAAGCTGCTTAAAGTGCTAATATTGGGTTTAATGAAAATGATATCAAAGTAACTGGCCACTTCACTGGCCTGACATAAACCTCAAGGAGGATCTGTTTAGTTCATTCAAGAGAAAGTTTGATGAAAACTCCACACAGAAATTCCTCATCTTGGGATTTCAACCCAGGACCAGAAAGTTAAAGTTCTATATTAACAGATTTAATAGAACTCTGTTTGTTCCTGCACCTGAAACTCTGCCTCATATGTTTTCAAAGCGGCAGGAAATTAAAAAAACCTCAGGCAGTAGTAACTGTTTTTTGACAAAAAGAGGTTTTAGTTTTGTAAGTTCAAACGACCATGCAAAGAACTAAAGCATCCCTTCATGTTCTCACTACTAAAAGGGGAACAGAACAGACAGAAATCTCAAGGAAATACTTGCACCGACGTAAACACTGCAGTTCATCCTTTGTGAAATATTTATCATAACTTTTCTCTTGCAGGTGAAATTCGAATAGCGTTTGTCCTGTACAAACACATCGGCGTTTACCTTTCCACGGAGAACGCCAGCATGAAGTTGGGCAGCGAAGCTCTGGCTACCAATTACTCCGTGATTGTCAACTCTCCCGTTATCACAGCTGCCATCAACAAGGACTCTAACAAAGTCTATCTCTCTGACCCTGTCATTTTTACCATCAGGCATCTGCAGGTAATTTTCTCGTCCTGTATCTGTGTCTGCGTGTGTTTGGACCTGAGGGGAGAGGGATTTGTTTTTACTTAGATGTCAGCGCTGCGGCATTTAACGTGCTCTTTGTCTCTTTCCATTTGTTTACTCAGAGAGCACACTTACTTTGGCGCCTTCTTGATAGAACCTTTCATCATCATTTTCTCTCTCCCTGAAGCGCATCGTAAATGTGCAAATCCCTTCTTAAGACGGTAAAAATAAGTAAATATGAAAATGTCTTATTCACGGGTAGGTGTGACATATTAAATTGCAACAAACGGAGTTGCTCACGACGGAGGCACGCTGTTCTTCATTGGCTTGAACACCAGTTTGATCTTGTGAGCAAATATCAGCCGCATTCAGCCTCACTGGAGGGTGCTTAGTCATCGTGGGGCGCCATGACTTTTCCCTCCTGACTCCATTTTCTTCTCCACACTCTACCAGCCTCACAATATCCCTGTTTTGTCTACAAACAGTGCTTTCAGCGATTATCAGAGATGTTGAACGGCCATAAGAGAGCAGCAGCAGTGTTTTTGTGTGTTGGAAAGAATGCATACAACAGCAGAAAAATGAGGAGAGAACAGAAGGATGACGATGAGTAAAAGGACTATAGCTCAAGGATGTTAAAATTAAATGGTGGGAAAATGTCAGGGGGATGATGTCAGAGCAGCTGTTGCTCTGACTCACCTGCCCTAGAAGAAAATTGTAATTCCAAGACTAATTTTACTATTAATCTGATGTTGGGGCACTTTTCCTGTCGCTTCATGGAAGGATCATGTAATTTTAATAAGATTCTGCCCTTTTTCACAATCATTTTCACAATTTTGTGCATACAAGTTTCTTATGTTGTCTGAAATCAGAATATTCTAACATTTCTTAGTTGGTTAACTAAGCCTTATTGGATGCAGCAAATTCTCCCAGAAAGGGAAAAATAAATGGAAACCTGATGTGTACCGAACATAAGGTGTAGAAATATGGTAATACCTATTTCTTTTCTTTTTTTTTTTGTGATAATTTTTAGATTTTGATAATGTATTGCATTTCACAAGATTGATTTTTGACTGATCAAGTTTTTCCAACATGTAAATATAAATTAATCAAAAGGCAAAATACACCGCTCCCGACCAAAAACAACCAGTCAGAGCGTGGAGGATGGTCTTAATTCTGTCACTCAGTGTCGCATACTCACTGCTAAATGTGCTAATGGCAGAGAAAGAACTTATAAAGAACTTTATCCACAGTCATCGGTGCCCATGCTAACTAGCGTAGCATTCACAACAGAATCTGCTGATGGGGAAAAACACGAGATTGTAATTGAGGAGCACTAAGACCCGCCTCCCTATGATTAAATGATCATAGTTTGTTAAATTTTGCTAACTGACTGAGTGTGTGAATTTAGCCAGAATATCTGATGTAAATTTGGTGCTAACTTTAATCAGTGTGAGCTGAATTTTTTAAAAGGCAAGAACAACATAAATGTGGCTATAAATAAGTATAATTAGCTTTTGACATTTGATAACCGCCCTAAATTAATGTTAAATCTTCCCAACTTATGCTGTTGCTAAGCAGGCATCTATAATATTGTCTTCCACTCCAAATTAGATGTAATTAATGTTCATATTTAGCATCATCGGGTATGACTGTGTCTTGGGGTGGTTTACTATCCTGCTGCCTTCCTGTTTAACCATGAGGTTTTGGTCTGCTGGTCTTCGGGGATGATTATGTGTCCTCTAGTTATTGTTTCGCTTCCTTGCCTTCCCATTTAACGGGCCCAATTAAAGCCATTAATGGTGACGGAGGGTCATCCTATCTCCTTGCAGTGAAGTAGTTTTCACAAGGTGTTGAACGTGTGAAGGGTAAATGCAATCAGTGGAAAACTTGCATTCACAGAGGATAAACCTTATTAGACTAATTACCATAGAACAAAAGTGAAACCAGGAGAAAATAAAAACCTCAGATAGTCACAGCATTTACAGTACAAAGTGAGATATGTTTAACCTTGAGGGCTGAGAGTCACTAAAGAAAAGGTGGGTGTACTTGCTTTATTTCTGCAGTTACAGCGCAAAGGACAATTGGACTCGAGAGGGAACGGCTCTCAGTGCATCTATTTATCAGCACTTACATTTTGTTGTGTTATTACGCCGTTGTGTTGTGGATGACTTTTATAAAATGGCGAGCAAGATAGCAGGGAGGCTCGCTTGTCATTAGGGCAGCAGCCCAGCCCAGCACAGACGGCAGCGGTGCCTATTAACCAGTGGGGCAGTCCATTGTCATGCAGCGAGAGTTAAAGAGAAAGGTCAAAAAACACAGTGAAAAACAGGCATGAGGTTGCTTGATGCTTCCTGACAATGAAGGCACCTGCTATTCACTCAGAATGGATGCGAAATGCAGTGGGGATAAATAAACCTTTTTTTTTTTGGGGTACATTTTTATTGTGCAAACAATAAAAAATCAAACATGAATCTTGTGTGATTAGTTTCAGACACCTGCGTTTCAAACAGAGTGGGCCTGATGATTCTGCTCATTTCTCATTATTTCTTTCTTTGTCCAACAGCAATCTGAGGAAAACTTCAACCCCAATTGCTCATTCTGGAGTTACTCCAAGCGCACCATGATCGGTTACTGGTCGACGCAGGACTGCCGCTTGCTGAGCACCAACAGGACACACACCACATGTTCTTGTACTCATCTCACCAACTTTGCAGTCTTGATGGCCCACGTTGATGTTAAGGTAATGCATTTGTTTTTTTAAGTTTCTATCCCTAAAACAAAGTTCCGACATTGTATAGAAATGATGCTTCTTTACGTGTTTTTTTTTTGTTGTTTTTCATGTGTTAAGTAATTGGGATTTGAACTTCTTAAAACCAAAGCAAATGCTATTCCAGGGAGGGAGCGGTGAATTTGTGCCGAAGTGCCTCTAATCTGCCTGGTTGTGTTATTCAAAGAATGGCAGGCTCTGTCTGCACTTTCGTAATGAACGACTTGCTCTCGTTCATCAGCATTTCAGCAAAAAAAAAAAAAAAACAAGAAAACAACACCACCACCTCTTTCTTTCCAAAAGATGTTTTAGGCAAATTAAATCACTTTTGGGACTTAGGTTGATATTGTAGGGAGGTGATAATATGTATCTTTCTTTTCCCCCTCATGCCCTTTTTTCCCCTCTAAGGCCTTTAGTCTTTTTTTACTGTCTCCTGACCTTTTCTCATTGTACCCAACTTCTTTTCATGTGTCCTAACCTTATTTCCTCCAAGTTATTCTTACAATTCTTTTCACTCTTGTGTCCTACTTTCCACTCCTTCCTTTCTCCATTTTCTTACTTTCTTACTTCCTTTGCTATCCTTTAAAACCTTGAGTTCTTCTTTCATCCTATGTCTGTCCTTCCTCTATTTTTTCTGTCCCTGTGTCCTTCCTTTTCTTTCTCTTTCTTGTGTCCTTTTTTCTTTGCTTACTTATCCCGACTCTGTATCCTTTCTTTTCCCCATTGTTTCCTTTCGTCTTTCACCCTGTGCCTTTCCATCTTTTTTTTATCCTTGCCTTACTTCCTCTGTTCATTCCTTGTGTTTCTCCCTTTTTCATTTCTTTGTTCTCATCCTCCTTCCTCTTGTCTTTCGTTCTTATCTCCCGTATTCTAGCGTTGGTTTTTCCAGGTTTCATATTTAAAGTTAATGCTGGGGTACAAATATGTTTTTTTGTAACTTCATAGAAAACTTTTGCATTTTAGTTTTTAAACATATTATAAAGCCCTGAGAAAGATTACAAATTTTTACTTTGAAAAATGTGAAAATGTGCAGGGCTTCTGTTTTTGGTATGCAACACAAAAAGTCGGATCAAGTCGATCAAAATGCATGACTCTGGTTTGGTCTATTTAGAGGTACTTTTAGGGTATGTTGTTGAAAAATGTTTTACAGGCGCCTTCATTTTTTTATTTTTATGGCTGTTAAGAATAGCAGATTGCTATTTTGTATTTATTGTTGAATGTGAAGCAACTGTAAAATTTTTTGCAGGTATTTGTTTTGGAAAATTGGTGCACAATATTCCTAAATACACATTCCCAACAGTGCTATTTTCATTTTAATTTGGCCCTTTGCCACAACCAAACAAAAAGCTTCATTTTAAGTTTGTCTCTTGAGAAAGTCTAGTGTTATTGGTCAATGGAGGATTAGAGGGGGCAGCTTCTCCGTCTTTGTTTGAAGTGCAAAAAAAGTAGCATCGCAAAATGTGTGACGGAACGTTGTTAATTAAAGGAAGAAAATATCTGGACAAGAGTGGTGTGTGTTTCAGGTTGTTTAAAAGCTATTTTCCCTGTGAATTTCTGTGTGAACATAGGTGACAATCAGCTTGTTATAAACACAGGAAGCAGAGAAAAGCAGCTATCCTTTCTCGTGCCAATTTCAAGAAATAAGGCAGCAACTAATTTTCAGAGAAAATCTCAAAAGTTAACTTTTTTTGCTACCTTGGTTTGTTTGTGAAAAGGGTGACATATTCAGCTGGTGCCTTTTTTCTGCCATTTTGTTGCTCTCAAGATTGTTGGTGGAATCTGGTTTAACCCATTGCCCCTCTTTCCTACCGCTGAAGACTACATTTCTAAGCCGACGTGGTGTTGCATCATTTTGGTAGAGCAGGAGGCGAATGGAGACTTTTTAGATGAATCTGTGCTTGCAAATACGGTACACTTACAAAGTCAAATAACAAAAATTTCTTCGCATTTTTGACGACACATTAACTTCCATTCTTGGGGGCTGAATCCCTGTGCACACCACACCAGGTTTTTTTTGTGTGTGGTGAAAATTAAAAACCTTGTATCATTTACTTGTACTTTATAGTTATGTGCTACTTTGTGTTGTTTTACTACAAATTACCCCAATAAAATTCAGCTTCTAACATGAGAAAATGTTCGAGAGGTATACTTCCATGCAACGTACTGTTAAAGATTCTTCCTTTGTCAGAAGTGAAGTTCACAGGCAGTTTCCATCAAGTGAAAAGTGCAAAAAGTCAGAGGTTGGTTGTAAATATATCTGAGTGGATAAATTAAGTGGAAAAAGCAAAGAAAGTCATTGGTCATGGGGGAATTTCTGATCTCACGTGGACAGATGACTTAATTGTTTTTGTCACTGGAGAGTTGAAGAGGTGAACCGCTGACAGAGCAGAGCAGCCTTTTGGATCTAGCATGGCATGTCTCTACTGAATCAGTGGGAGAAAAAGAGACACTCTGTGAGAGATGTCCCACCTGGTGCCAGTCCACAAAATGACAGGCACTCTTTTTTATTGACATGTCTTCTCTGCAATCTGGCTTTTGTTTTTGTCTCTTTCTTTGATCTTCCTCTCAAAACTATGCACAAATACAAGACAAAATAATATGGATGCAATCTTCCTTCCCAATACCTGCAAAACCCTCTGCTCTCCTTGTGGGTGGGGCGGCTCCAAAGAGCCACTGTTTGTCACTCAGCAGCATGACTTCTGGACCCACTAAGCTCCCTGCAGGGCTGAAGTCGAGTCTGGAATAGCGAGGCAGCGATGAAGAATGGGAGCCTTCACACGATGAAAGCAGAGCAAAACAAAAAAAAAAAAAGTGGGGGAAGCAGTAAAAGAGCTCTTTGAGTTAAGCCAATCCCCCCCAACATTTTGAGAAGCCTCGCTCGCTAGTGCCCCTGCATTCACCAGAGAAAAGTGGACAGTGGTTGCACCCCAATTCTGAGTGATATTTTTCCCTTCTTGTCTTTTCTATTTCGTTATCTTTTCTACCTTGACATTATAAAAGACAGCTCATTGGAAACTGCCACTAAATGGGGGCTTTGGCGGCTTTTTATTTGACAAACTGTCACCGTGTTTGATCTAAAAGCACAGCGAATGGGGGGAAAATAGATGTATGCGTCTGTGTTTCTTGGAAATAGTGCCAGATAAAGAAATCTTATGAGGCTATTGGGGAGGTGTGGGGGGTATCATGGCAGCAAAACACAGCAAATTTCATCTACTGCATTGTTAATTCTGTACTCATAACCCTCAGAGCTACCGATTATCTTTTAGCCTTGTTTATTTCTTTGAAACGTTATAATTGCTTTTTTTGTTTGCACTCTGGACTGAGTCCAGTATACCAGTCATTATCAATCGTGTTTCATTGGGTGATAACTTTTGTGGCAAATGGGGAATAAATCACCAACATATTGAAAGATTTTCCTGTTGGTGAATTTTTCTGTAATGTCACAACTTTAACATCAAATTATGAGAGCATTTAGTGTTCCCATAAAGTCCATAGAGATTGGAAAATCCAAAACAATCTCTACATTGTGATCGCAGACATTTTATCCTGCTGAAGTATTTTAATGATGCAAAATCCAATGGGTTATTGTGGTGACAATTAAAACTAACTTAGTAGGAAAAAATTGCAGTGGAACTGCTTCCTATTGCCAGAGCATCATAACATATAACATATAAATACAGCTCTGAGTAAAATATATTTATATTTATTTATAACAATGTTTACCAACATTTTTTACCTTCACATTACTATTTTGTTGCTTCCTCCTCTCATTTTTATCAAATAACTCATTTTATCACAGCTGATTTTTTTTTTTGTTATTATGTACAGTTGTGACAAAATGTTAAAACCCATCAATAAGCATGTGTGTTTTGCTAACATATGTGAACATGGGCATCTTATCATACCATCAAATTTAGCAAAATATTTTGCAACTCAATTTCACACCTTGCAGAATCTAAAACATATTCCATCAGGTATTTAAAAAAATGAAACATTTCTTTACTTGAACCAATACATGAATTAATTTAATAGCACATTTTAGTCTGAGGCGCCTTTCTCCACACTGAAGGTCATCGAAATATGCAAAATATATTAAGCAATATCGGTGGATTACTATTATTTTATTTTTTTTATCACACACACAATTCTGGTGTGTGATAAAAAGTGTGCTCCCTTGGTGGATTAAAGCTGTTCAACGCTCCTCTTAGTCATAATTATTAGATTAGAATGTGTTCCTATGAAGCTCATTCGTCTGAATAAAAGACAAAATAGCAATTTCAAGCAGGTATTCTATATACTTTCCATTAATCCCACAGTTCAGTTTCAAAGACGTTTTTTTGTTGGTCTGATGTAATACTCTTTAACAGAAATAAATCATCAGGCTGAGTGTAATTATTCTATATAATGTGTATCACTTAATGAAGTGAGTTACTGATATAAGTTAACTTTTAAATTATATTTTAAAATTATAAACATGAGCGTAAATAAGTGGCTTATTTAACAAAAAATTTTATTCAACATTGTGGATAAGATACTAAAAATAGCCAAAAGAAGAAACTTTTCTCTTTTCTGCTTACATTGTCATGCATAGCACACTGACTGCTCATATACTATGTGGGTGTTTTAATTTAAACTACATGCAACCAGAGAAAATTCTGACCTGTACCTGGTCCTTCATTAAAATAACTCTGCTATGAAGGCCTTTGCAATACTTCACTCTAAAACTCTGATCCCTGATGCAACTTTGTCCATTTTTTTCGGGTGCATATCTTGCATGAGCTCTTCAGAACAGCTACATTTAGTATTAGAGATCTTTAACTACCATAATGGATACTGTGTTATGAAGGACCACTACAACGGCACAGAGTGCTTTCATTTCTGTCTGATTTACAGCTGATGTCTTGGACATTCAAGCCAGAACGGTAGATGCCTCCTACTGATCTTTCAGTATCAGCAGGGAGACGCAGCTGGTC